CACTCTTTCTTAATGAAAAATGTAATGCTTTGATTTGCATGTTGCACATAATCATACATATAGGGACTACAAGACAAGATCGAACTGGTTCCTATCGATCTTCTGAATAGGCCTACCTGGTATAAGGAGAAAGTCTACCCTGAAAATAAGGTGATGAAGTTGGAAAGTGTTAATTTGCAGATAGTATGCTATATGGTTCGTTCAATTGATCGTATATATGAACTTGCTCCTCTGTTATGTAGGTGCCATCCTTGGAGCACAATGGCAAGGTCATGGGAGAAAGCCTTGACTTGATCAAATATGTTGATGCCAACTTCGAAGGGCCATCTCTAGTTTCCACTGTAATTCTAGTTTAATATTTGTCCATTATAAAGCATGAGAATCCTCTTATTTTGTTGGTATAAAGTGGTCTCAATTTTGAGTTTTATTTTTCAGGACCCTGCAAAGAAAGAATACGGGGAGCAATTGATATCTCACATTGATTCCTTGATGAAAGATATCTACGCCTCGTTCAAAGAAGAAGATCCTATGCAGCAGGCTGGTAATTAAGATCTTAGTGTTTTTTTTTTTTTTAATATGTGAGATTCATATAAAATTAAGATAACATGGGCTTATTTAAATTGTTTTTTTTTTCTTAATTTTATTATCAAGGTCCTTCTTTTGATTATTTGGAGAATGCTCTCGGGAAATTTGATGACGGACCCTTTTTTCTTGGCCAATTTGGTTTGGTAAGTCGAACTTCAAGACTCAGAAGATATCAAAACTTTTACAGTTTAATAATATTCTTTTTGTCTATAGAGCTACAAAACTATCCCTCTAGAATATTTAGACAAATTATAACTTTACTCCTGTTATCTATTTTGAGTATAAGAGTACCATGTTATTGAACTTTTTCGTTAGTATCATAATTATAATTTATAAAACCTGGTTGATTACTAGGTGGATGCTGCCTTTGCTCCATTTGTTGAAAGGTTACAAATTACCTTTTCTGAGGTGTATAAGAATGACATCGTATCTGGGAGGCCAAAACTAGCAACATATATTGAGGTATATTTAATCCTGAATTTCTTCTTTGGCTTATGTATGACTCTGCTGGAAGAAACATAAATTTAATGTCCATTTAATTTGGACTGTTTGTGAAAGATCAAGAGTACAAAACTAAAATAACTTCTGTAGTAGCATTGGTCTTCCGAAGAAGATTGATTTTCATTAACAAATTTCATTTGCAGGAGCTGAATAAACTTGATGCTTATAAGATCACCAAAGTTGATCCTCAGGAGTTTGTCGAAATTTTCAAAAAATGGTTTTTGGTAATATACATCCTCCATATTTTAAGCCCTTTTTCTCCGTTTTGGGGAATTTAGATAGAAATCTAAGCAATGTGCTTCAGACATCTTGGTAAACTCTACATGTTTGTCTTATGCAGGCCCAACAATGAGCATTTGATGAGAATGGATATATCATATATCAGATAGTGAATAAAGGGACAAGCGGATGGATGCAATGTTCATGCAGTGTAATATTTTGTGATCAAGGGAGTGTGTAATAAACTAGCTATAATTGAAATTAGCTTGATTTTATAATAATAATAATATAGGTACCAGCTTGTCATAGCGTTGTGCAATCCTGAGTATATGACAATGATATCTTTTGTTAAGGTTTTATCAAGATCCTGTGTGTAAAAGTAGAAACCAAGTTACTCTAAAGAGATACAGTCATTGAATGTTTTGTTTCTTGTGGCTCTATACTTCTGAATCGCCCATCGAGGTATAATCCTAACTAAATTGCAAATATGGCAAGGACATCCTACCACAATTCCTATCTACAAATCAAACACCACCAATGAAACATAAACTCCAACCCTAGTCTCTATTTATTTTAATCCAATATAATGATTTATATCTGATTGAATTTTAGTGTTTTAAAATGAAAGTAAATAAATCTTGCTTTTATCAATTATATTTTTATTTATCAAAATTATAATATTAGAGTCAATCACACTTTTTTTATTATCTAAAACTATGTTATAAAAAAATAAATAAAAAGATATATAATTTTATAAATAGTTTTTCATTTTTTTAATTTATATTTTCTTATTTACTTTGAAATTATGAATGAATATTTTTATTTTTCATCCTATCAAACAAGCACATCGTAATAAATCACTAGGATTAGTATAGGAGTCGAGTGGATCCTGAAAATTAGAAATACGATATCTAGATTAAATTTTATTGCTATTATTTTTATAATATTTTTTTTATTATTATAAATTTTTTTTTAAAAAAACACGTTCTAAGCGAATTTTCTGGACGCACCGAACGTAAATGGGGGTAGACACTGCACTGCTGACGATTCCTTCACGTGATGGGTGATGGGTGATGGGTCCTATAAAACGCAAACTCACTTGAAGTGAATGTAGACGCCATTCTGCACCGAGTCCAAGTTTCTTCACCAGAACTTCTAAACACATCCATGGCAACTGCGTAAGACACTTGTGTTCATAATCATAATTATTTGTTTAATTTGAAATCGGTTTTTCTTATTCTTGTTCGTCATTCAGCGGCGTTCAAGAAGTTCGTGTTCCCCCGCTAACTTCCACCTCAGAGCCACCTTCGCTCTTTGACGGAACCACCAGGTGTTTCTTCTTTGTATTCCGATTTACGTCACTATATGTATGATTTTTTATTTTTTTTTTAATTTTTGGATTTTCTTCTAGGTTGTACATAAGTTATGTTTGTCCCTTTGCGCAGCGTGTTTGGATCACTCGGAACTATAAGGTTCTTTCTGTGCTCTGTCCTATAAGTAATAGGTTTTGTTCATTCTGTTTTCCGATCAGCATGCAAGTGAATAAATGTTGTTCATGTTGTTTTGTCTTCAGAACTGAAATTTTACATCGGTACTATATCCTATAAAAGATTAATATAGAAGTAAAACTTTAATTTTGTTCCGAGATTATTACCGACAATACTTACAAAATTATATATAAGTTTTGTCTTAATTTTTTATTAATATATTTTTTGATTCGTGACTGAATCCTTGATTTGTCCTTCCTCTAAATGTCATCGCGACAATTCCCAAAAAAATGTTATAAATTAACTTTTCAAAAATAAAAAAAATACCACCATATTCATGGTGAAACCTTAGGATCTTTTAAGGGATTAGTTTGGTTACAATTTTTTTGAGGACTAATATTGTGATGTTTGAGATATTAGTTTGCTGCAACGTTAGGTTGACTAAGATTGTAATGTGATGGTTGGGTGAAACTTTAGGGATCAATTTGAAATTTACTTTTTAATTTCTGGTATTCTTTGAGCCATAGGTGTTCTCTTTCTTGGCTGAGGATCAGTTTGGTTATATTGCAGGGACTACAAGACAAGATTAAACTGGTTCCTATCGATCTTCAAAATAAGCCTGCTTGGTATAAGGAGAAAGTCTATCCTGAAAGCAAGGTGTTTAACTTCGTGATTGAGGTATATAAATTAGTCTATGATCTGGTAACTGATCATGATTTTCTTCTGATGTTATAGGTGCCAGCATTGGAGCACAATGGAAAGGTCGTGGGAGAAAGTATCGATTTGATCAAATATGTAGATGACAACTTCGATGGGCCATCTGTTATTCCCAGTGTAAGAACTGCACATTCTCCCTCACACCCCACACCTCTATTTAAGTATTTATTGTTTAGTTGAGTTGTTTCAAGATGTTTTTCCAGGATCCTGCCAAGAAAGAGTTTGGTGAGCAGTTGATTTCCCATGTTGATACATTCACCAGAGAGTTGTATACTTCATTGAAAGGAGATCCTATACAACAATCCAGTAAGTAAGGTTTTTGGTTTATAAATAGAGGGAAGTATTGTTGGAGTCGGTATGGAACTAACTTTCCGAATCGGTGATTTTAATCAGGTCCTGCCTTTGATTACTTGGAGAATGCTCTTGGTAAATTTGATGATGGGCCATTCTTTCTTGGTCAATTTAGCTGGGTAAGTTGAAATCAGAGTCTTGAAAATGTTCCATTTCAATTGACTGACCTATCCACCGGCAATAAATTCTAGCAAAATCATATTAAAGCTCGTAATGATCTGATGTAACAAAGTATTAAAGTCATCATGAATCAAGTGCAAATTCAGTAGTATTAGATAAATGATAATACCTATGACTAGCTTTCCTCGTATGAGTTGTAATTGCTCGTGATGATCAGGTGGATATTGCCTATGTTCCGTTTGTTGAAAGATTCCAGCTTGTCTTTTCTGAGGTGTTCAAGCATGATATTACAGAAGGAAGGCCTAAACTTGCAGCATGGATTGAGGTACAATAGAAGCAATTCTATGTCAATTATTTCTTGTTCAAAGAAATTGAACTGCTTATGTTCTTTTATGTAATAATGAATTGGTTATGAATCATAATCATCAATCTGAACATGAATAGAACTCCATGGGCTCCGCAACAAGTGGAAACAGAATGGTCCATTGTGGTCTTTCATGCCTTTGATAAGGTACTGGTACAGAAGATGTATTCATTTGTGAACATGTTTCTTTTGCAGGAAGTGAACAAGATTAGTGCTTATACACAGACAAGAGCTGATCCTAAGGAACTCGTTGATATTTTCAAGAAACGTTTTTTGGTACTTAAACAACATTCGCATATCCCTCAAGATTGAGTTTGCATTGTGATTGATTTCTGCAATCTGTCTATATTCTCTTTGCCACTTTGTTGAACTTCTACACATCTACCTTGCAGGCTCAACAGTGAAAACTGGGTTGCATTGGGCGTCGTCTAAGATGTAGATCGTTGACAATAAAGTGTTGTGTGTTTATGGGATGTTTTTAAGTCAAATGTTGGGTTGTCTGCTACAGTTCTGCAAATAATTGGATTTCGATGTTGGTATGTTTATCTACCAACCAGCTTGTCAAATGTTTGCCTTCCTTTTAATACTGAGTGGCAATGTATTATCCTACGGTTGTTATTATATTTGTATATGTAATCTCGAATCGTCATAAATTAATCGTCTTTTTAATTTTTATACCTCTCGACTATGGTAATTGGTAATGAATGATGAATTCTGTCATTTTGCGATTTTATTTGAAGTAAATATATAGGCATTAACTAAGTATTACAAAAGGAAATAATAATAAATAAATAAATAAAAGTTGTGGTGAACTGATGGAGAAGTCTACCCGAATTATGTGTATAAATTAGAAAAAAAAAGAATACTGTGTTGTTGGCGATTAACATAATAGTATGGCAGTATAATTTTAAAAATAACAATACATCCTTCGGTTAAATAAAGATTTATGATTGTATTTAAATTTTGTTCAAAATGTTGCATTTTTGTTTTTGCAAATACCGCCATTTTTCCCGGGGACGAGGATTGTTTTCTCAAGTTTTAAATTAAGATTACTTTTTTTTTTCTTTCTCCCATGTGCTGTTGCGTTGAATTTCTTAAATTATGTTGTAAGATTTTTTTTAATTGTACAATGATAACAATAAAGATTCAAACTAAAATTTCAAAAACATATAACTTTTTTTATATATTTTTTTATAAAACTTAATCTAAAAAATTCATATAATTACAGTCAAGATTAATATTTAACAAAGAGAAGCAATATTAAATCTAAATAACCATATTTAAATTTGGAAAACTATTAACATTCATTATTTTTCACTCCATTTTCTTATTTTCTTTTTTTTCCATCATATCACTTTGTTTGTTATTTTTTCTCGTCCTTTCTATTTTATTTTCCATCCACTTGCATACACCCTATTTGGAGTGCACTTTCATCATAACTCATGTAAGTTTTATCCATCTAGTAATGCCAAAAATGACTATGAGGATATTAATGTTGTCTCAATGCTGATGATCAGAAGCGTTCAGATACAAGGATTCAGCTCAGTTTCAAATTGGGCCACTAAAAGATACCTCAAGTGCAATTACGCTGCAAAACGCAGAATGAAAGTATGAAACTGCTTCGCCAATCTGAAAAGTTCTCCAGATGAAGAAACCATCACATAGCTTCCTTGGTTGAAAATGCTATTTTTCCACAAAGCTTAATAAACTATAAAACAAAACTACGATATTAACATTTATAAACCTGTATCTTCACTACTATCTTGAAGTTGAGAAGCCCATTAAATAATATATTTGAATTTATCTTTGGATTATGTTATATCCACCGAACATTGAGCTCCATATTATCGGAGATCTCATATCAAGTAGAATTATAATCAAAATAGAGTAAATAAGTGGAGAACATCTCTCGTCTTACAGATTATATAAGATTTAGTTAAACTCAAAACTTGCATTTTTATAAATATCATTGCCTTCTCCTGGTTCTAGGAGGAGTAGCAGGAGCGAGACGAGAGCTTTGGACTGAGTGTGTACTGGGATCATATCTTTGTGAAGCAAGGTAAGACAAAGCTGTGACAACATCAGCTATAACTGGACGCATGTTAGCTTGCTCCTGAACGCACATTGCTGCAACAGCAAGGGCCTGGTATAGCCCTCTTGGAGGATATTGACCTTGGAGCATTGGATCAGCCATTTGTGAAAACTTTCTTCTGTCCTTAAACAAGGGTCTAGCCTGCAGTTAAATCAGAATATGCCATCCCAGAGTTACTACTAAAGGACCAAACCATATCAAAGCTTATTATGAAATATTCCAATTTCTTCCCTACTTAGACATGCAAAAGCCAGTTAAACTGTATAAGCATGTTTGGATATAAAGTAGAAGTACTTTCGAGAGTTTTTTTACTAAAAATAAAAAATTATTTTCTATAGAGGAACTATCAAAAATACTTTTAAATCTGTATCCAAACAAATTCTATGTATGACATAAGCAACTTAAAATGTTCACCTAACTTCTACTTCTACCTTTAACCATGATAGTGTGTCAAAATTAAACTCCAAAAGAGAAGGAGGAAAAACACTTCAACAAATAACAAAAGATCAGCTTGAAGGGATTTCCCTAGCACGAGACATTTTCTCTCAAAACATTCTCCATTAATGATATACTATGTTTTGTTATTTTTTTTTGAAGAGGTAACTGTGAACTACAAGAATGTAAAGGATTTCTTGCCACAAATTCTTGAGCTTAAGTACAATTATGAAAGAACTTTTTTTTTTTTTGCAAGATGACTGATTCGTATGAAACTAAATGCATCCCCTTACCCACACTGATGTGTATGCCATTTAACCAAGAGCATTCATAGATTGGTCTAAGGGTTGGTGTGCTGTGCTAAATCATGAGCCAACCCCAGGAAATGAGATAACCGTAGGAGTCTCTTACCCAGGCAACAAGATTCTGCTCTCCTGCTGATTTTGAATTGTCAATTGCTTTCCTTCCAGTAATTATTTCCAGAAGAACTACACCAAAGCTATAAACATCCGATTTTAGAGTCAATTGACCAGTCATTGCATACTCTGGAGCACAATATCCATAGGTGCCCATAACCCTTGTTGATACATGGGTGTTTTCCCCAACTGGGCCAAGTTTAGCCAAACCAAAATCAGATAACTTAGGGTGATACCCTTCACCAAGCAAAATGTTGGAGCACTTTAGATCGCGGTAGATGACAGGAGGATTAGCTTTATCATGAAGATATTCCAAACCCTTTGCTGCCCCAGCAGCAATTTTCATTCGCGTGTTCCAGTCCAGTCGTTTCTTGCCAGGAGGAATATCTGCAGATCAGACATACATGACCAACATTAACTAGAAGAGAGTAAGAAATTCAAAGAAGTGGAAAAACAATTTGCATTGTTGAAATATACAAATACCATGCAAGTGGTCTTCCAAGGATCCTAATGACATATATTCATAAACTAGAAGCCTTTGATCTCCATCAGCACAATAACCAATAAGGTTTACAAGGTTAGGATGGTGAAGTAGACTTAACATCAACACTTCAACAAGGAATTCCCTATTCCCTTGCAGTCCATTTCGGTCAAGTTGCTTAATTGCAACAACCTATATTCAACAATAGAAAGAGTGAAATGTGTTACAAACTCAACCTACATCAAATTTATGCAGAGTTCCATGTTAGCAACAATCAATCTATTGTTCTGGCTATTAGAAGAGATCAATGTGGAAAATGGGGTAATGATGAATAATAAAGAAAAAAGGAAGAATCACTTCATTTCCTAACACCCCCTCTCCTTTTTTTCATAAACAAATAAATAAATAATGAGAAAAGAGACTCACCTGATTAATGCTTTCCAAACGCCCTTTGTATACTCTACCAAAGCCTCCTTCTCCCAAAAGACATTCAGCTCTAAAATTTCTAGTTGCAGTTGCCAACTCACGGAATGAGAATGTCTGTGCTGCAATGTGATCAGGGTTCCCATTTTTAGATGCATCTTTTGAATTTTTTGATGAATTCCTCTTCAACTTTCCTGCACTCAAGTGACAAGAATACTACTTAAGGGGGAGAAGCAGAAGCTACATCAGGGCTAGATTTGGCTTCTAAGACCAACACATGTTAATGCAATCTCTAGAAATCACGAAAATACTACCTGCCATGTTCCGACAAATAACTAAAGATTGTGCAACTGTGAATCACAAACTGCTTCTTCATGCATTATGCATCATTTCAAATTTACTATCAACACTACAAATTTAAGCTTGGTATATATGCTTTACAGCTGAGGAAACCAACTAGCTGAAAGAAAACAAAATAATGGAGAAATATCGTGTTTTTAAGAAAACTAACACGATAATTTCAGGTACTTGGAGTATTAGTATTATAAATTCTAACACACACATCCTACAAATCCAAGGCCACACATCAGACTTGCACTGAAGATATTTCTCAGGATATATAACTGAAAATAGCATATTATTATATCATATATATGCAGATTCCAATCACCTCCTCTCAAAATATTTTTCTATAATATTAAAAAGATTGCAATCACACATCCAGGAGACCAATCGGGTGTACCAAATTCCTAAAACTCAATCAAATTATATTTTTGCAAGAAAGCAAGAGATGATTTTGTGCAAGACATTATTGCATAAACCCCCAAACTACCTTAATTAAGTGAAAACACAATTGTCCCCAACAGGATTTCAATATCATAATTCCATTGATGTCTTCCTATACTAAAAAAAAAAAAAAAAAACAGTACCTGGGGTAGCTTTGATCTGACCAACAAGACTGTCTTGAACTTCCATCTTCTCAATCTTATTCTTAGTGCCTGAATATCCAGAACAGGGAATCCAACCCATTTTTCCTCTCTTCTCTTCAATGGACGCAGCACAGTGATCAGAGAGAACCTAACAATCAACTTCTCAAGACCCGACCCGAACACACGGTTCTCGCGCAGCTAACTGCAACAAAACAACTTAGAAAACACCCTTTGTTCTTTCTCTCTCTGTCTCTGTTTACTTTTATCATGTGATTGTGTCTTCTGTTTTCTATTTTGAGTTTTTTTTTTTTTTTGGCCTTGGTGTTTTAGTTTGAGTTCATTAATTTATTCGTTGCCTCCTCTTTTGGTCGGAAAAACACCATGATTTGTTGAAATGCGCCTCACTGGATCACCTCCAAGACCAACTCCAAACTAATCTCACATTAAAAAATGTACATTATTTGCCCTTTTTTTTTCTTTTGGCTAAACACAAAATAATTGTTTAGAAATTAAGTTAATTTCTGTCACAGCATGTCATGCTCGCCACTCCTATTTGCCCTCCAAATAATCTACAATAGGAATCTATGAACTTAGATGCTTTGTGCTTTTATTGGAACAATTCCTACATACCATTTTTTTTTTCTTTTAAGGAAAAAAATAATGTCCATTTAATTGAATTTAATTTAATTTATACATGTGGTGCAGTTTAACTCAATGATCATAGTTTTGGCCGCCCTCAAAGTTCAATTTTTGGAACACAAGTGAACAAGTACTAACAGCTGTATATCTTAAAGACATTCCTATAATTATTACAAGATGGGGCTCATCATGCCATCTAAAATTAGTTCTCTTTCTTTTCTTTGATTTTGTGCCCTTTTAGTCAATAATGAAAGGGATTCTTTGGAGGGAAAGAAGATATGGTTTTACCAATTGTTTATTTTTTTTCTTTTTGGAAAAGTAATCACAAGGAAAAATTAAGAGACTAAGCCAAAGCCCGGGGAAGCTTCCTAGCCATGTGTCTCACGTAGGACATGTAATAATGAATGTGGTAAAATGAGAGTTTCACGGTTCTATTTTAATAATAATATATTCATATATTTATAAAATACTTTTATCATTCTTTTTCTTTTATCATATCACATTTCTTCTCTTCCTGTTTTTCTTTATTTGTATATCAATCGGTGCGTGTTTGCATTGGAGTTCAAACGTGAAAAATCACGTTCAATTAGAAACAACAAATAATAACTTTCATGTAAAATTACTGTTCGACGTGAAGAGAAGACAAAATTGATTTACAAAATGAAAACCAAACACGCACTCAACTTTTTTTCTTCCATATTCATGTTTCTTGTTTCACAGACAGACATTTCATTCGCGAAAGAGAGTGAGAAGTTGAGAACAACTATTTTTTTTTCCTTTAACTAAATAATGAAAATATGAATAGAGACTTCGTGCTTTAAAAATCTATTACACGGAGACAGCTGGTAGGAAACGCTCTTTACGAAAGGGCCATCTGTTTCTATCATGCAATCATATGTTTTTTTTCTTCAATAAAAGTCAAATTAATGACATACATGATTATTATTTGCAATTTCAATTTTATAAATGTGATGTGTGTCACTCAAATTTAAAGTAGTTATTGTCTTTGAAAGATCTTATTATAGGAACAATGTTAAAGAGGATGAAAGGAGAATGAACTCGTGATAAAGATAGAAAATCTTTTAAGTTATATGAGTTAATTATTTAATTTGTTTTCTCTTTGTGTATATTTTTTTTATTTATTTTTTTATCTTATAATTTTAGGTCAATTAGTATAAGAATTTATTTCTTTATAATTTTTATTTTTTAGGGTGTAAATAATATTTTACGGGAATGTAACTAAAAAAGAAAATGAGTTTATTAGGCTTAAATTGGCTTATAAGAGCATTTGGATGTGAAGTCTACGATGTTGGACCTCCACTTCTAGTGGCCAAGATGTTTCGATGACTAATTCAAGTTTCCAATATGTCATATGACCTTATTTAATTATACTTTTGATACATTGTTATGTGGCAAACTCTCATAAGTTATTCTAAATTTACGATGTTAACATGAGTCACACTTTTTTTGCCTTGTTATGCAATAAACTTCTATCGACTCTTCTAGATCTTGGATAGTGAAATTTTTAAGAGGAAATTCGAAATTCAAATTGTAATTGGAGTTAGTAGTCTTGAGTTCATGTTAACCTAACCTTGGTTACAAGTGACCTAAGTTAGCTTAACTTGCATCACAAGCTACCAAATCCTATATATACATGTCCCCTCCACTTGGTCGTGTACTTTTGAAGCATTTTTATTGAAACTTTTCTTCCAAAAGTTTTAGTTCTCTATTTTGGAGAAAACTTCGTATAAACTTTTATCAAAAAATTCCTTCTTATGGCAAATTCTTCCTCTCTTTCTCATCTTCACTTTGAAGTGACACACCTCCTCACCTGTACTCTCTCCACCATTTTCAAAACTTCTTTGAAGGTTTCAAGTTCATGGATGAAGATTGGGAACACATTAAAGTTAGTTGAAGAGAAACTTTAGTCACCTCCTCCACTAATTTTATCAGTTACTCAACAAGTCAATTTGTTCTAGCATGTTGATACTCACTAGACTAACTTAGCATGAGTGTACTTAGCATCAAGTGTATGTATCATAATTTACAAAGCAACCAAACAACCTTTTATAATTAGTTCTAATAGAGATTTTGAGAAATTATGATAAATATCTGACAAATAATTTGAGGAACTTAATGTTTGTCATCAATTTTTGAATTGAACATAATTTTTTTATGTACTAAGGATTGACTAGTCATACACCGATTTGTTTGGTATAATTTATGTGAAACTTAATCAATACTTCATCCATCCTATAATAAGTGTAGTATTATAAGAAATAATAAGTCCCGAAAGAAGCTTAATGTTAACTTTTTAATGTAGTAATAATTTTTTTGTTTTTGTTAAACTATAATAATATTATTGAAAAAGTGATTGTTGTATTGCATCATTTCTAACATAGAAGATTAATCAAAAGGTTAATTTTGTAAAATTACTACTTTTCTCTCATCTATTTATTAACTTTACTTGATCTGTGTAAAATAATTTAAGAAGATATTTATTATGGAACTGAATGAAAAGAATAATACAAAAAAAAGACATGTTACATGTTATAATATTTATAAAATAATATTTATGTAATATTTTATAATATGATGCAAATATGTATATCATGTGAATCCTTTAAGTCATCTCGCATTGCTAACTCTAACAAATTAATGAGCAATAAAGATCAAATCTTTATACACTACTAGAAAAGTGTCATTTTCCTGCAAAAAAAAAATATTTGCATAAATTTTTTTGCAAATTTTCCTGCAAGAAAATATTCGCAGAAATTTTTTTGCGAATTTATTTACGAAAAATAATTTACATATATTTCTTACAAACCATATGACTTATGACCGAGAATTCTTCAAAGAACTCAACAAAATTGATATTTCTAAAGTCCAAACGGGGAATGGAACACACCTTGCAGTAAAAGGCAAAAGAACAGGCAAAAGAACAGTGGTTATTAAAAGTCATTCAGGTTTGAAATTAATATCTAATGTTTTATATGTTCCTGATATTAATCAAAATTTGTTGATGATGCTCAGTTATTGAAAAAAGGCTATAAAGTGTTATTTGAAGATAAAAATTGTGTGATTAAAGATATACACAACAAAGAAGTATTCAATGTTCATATGAAAGGCAAGAGTTTTGCTTTTAAATTTGGAGAAGAAGGAGCCAATTATAAATGAAGATACAAGTGAAGAGTACAAAGATGTATGTCTTCAAAAGAAGTTTGATAATCAAGAAGAGAATGAAGATGATGAAAAACCACCTTCAAAAGAGAAATTTAAGACAAATGCTAAAGTAGTCCCACTCAAGAAGGATTACAACAAAAATCACAAAAAGAAGAAACTAATCAAAAAGAGAAAAGGTAGATTTTGAAATTCAAATTTAAATTAGGTAATAAAAATATTCAGTCAAAGAGGAGTGTTGGAAATATGCCTAAATATCTTTAAGGGAATAAATTAGATTTTGATAAGAATATTTTATTTATATTTCAAATATTTAGATTTAATCTGTTTTGATTATTTTAGGATTTGTTTCCTTATTTTTAGAATAGGATAATATAAATATTTAATTTTGTATAACAAATTTTCTCTATAAATAGAGACTCGTGAATAAAATTAGATTATGCTCCTCTGATAAAAAATAAGTTTTATAAAATATCCTCTCAGACAAATACCATAAAATAACCCCATCAATATATATATATATAATAAAAAAATAAAAAACTATTCATAATACATTAAGGATAAAAAAAAACACTTTTATGTCGATAGCCAATACTGTATATGTAGAAAAAAATAAGAGAGACGAGGTAATACTAATGTTGTGGGTGAACGTAGCAACTCACTGTATTTTTTATTGAATAAGAGATGACCTTTAAATAGCCATTTTACAACGTACTGAACTAACAAGAAGATAATAAAATATCTTATCAAATCAAAACTTATCAAAAAACTATCTTATCTAATCTGAAACAAAATAACTCAAAAGATAAATCAAATAATTCCAGATAACTTAAATCGGATATCTCGGATATCTCGGATATCTCGGAATCTCTAGAAATTTAAGATTTTCCAACAAAACTCCCCCATAATCTTAATTTTTTTTTTTTCGATGCCTCTTCCACCAGAGCGCGATACTCCTCCGCGTACCATGGCCCCGCGAGCCACGCGACGTCCAGCACCCCCGGGGCCGCGGTGGCCGATGCCTCTTTTGGGACACAAAAATACCTGTTGTTCTTTGGTCCACCTCTAAACCCAGAAAATACTTCATGATGTCCAAATCGGTCATCTCAAACTCCCTCTTCATCACTTCTTTAAACTCCTCAACTAGCTCAGCTTTGCTTTCCATGAATATCAAGTCATCCACGTATAGAGAAACGAACAATATATCTCCTTTGCACTTCTTTAAATAGAGAGCATGTTCATACGGACATTGTTCATAACCATTTCTCTTGAAGTAGGTGTCTATTCTCTCATTACATGCTCGAGGAGCTTGCTTCAAACCGTACAAAGCCTTTTTAAGCTTCAGCACTTTCTTCTCTTCACCTCTCATGTACCCTAGAGGTTGCTCCACGTAGACTTCTTCCCCCAACACCCCATTCAAGAATGCTGACTTCACGTCCATTTGTTGTATCTTCCATCCATGTTGAGCTGCTAAGGACAGTAGTAATCGAATCGTTTTCATCCTTGTTACGGGTGCAAAAACTTCATCATAATCAATGCCTTTCTGCTGTTTATAACCCCTCGCCACAAGACGAGCTTTGTAGCGCTCCACTTCGCCATTTGCATTTGTCTTCCTTTTGTATACCCACTTCAAACCAATTGGCCGAGCTCCTGTGGGTAAATCTGTCAGCTTCCACGTCTCACTCTTCTCAATTGATCCGATCTCCTCATCCATTGCTTTCTTCCATCTCTCATCAAGTACCGCCTCTTCAAACTTTATATCTTCTGTTCCTGTCAATAGACACACTACATGTAACTCGTCAGTGGAGTTGTAGATGTCTTGCTCCTTTGCTTTGTACTCGGACGAGCTCGGAAAACTTGTTCTTGAATGCTTTCCGAGTACACACGCTTCACAAAACTTCTTGTCAAACTCATCACCACGCAGTCCGTGCACCAACTCCTTCCTTGATAGCTCGACCAAACCTCCAAAGTTTAAATGCCCAAGACGAGAATGCCTCATTATTGCTTCATCCTTCACTAAAGAATACAAAATTTACCTTTGATCGGTTTGCTCGATTACTTCTGAAGTCGAGAGCGCTCGGCAAATTTACAGCAAGTAAGTTCACCAGCAACCCCTCCCCTATTTATAGGCAAGGTAAATGGGGGAGGTGAAAAGACGTCCCGACACCCCAGCCGTTCGATCTAGGCCATCCAACGGTCTAGATTTAGTAACCGTTGGACCCGTAACCGCTAGGGCTAACCTGGCAGGCCACACCCGCCGAGGCCTTGGCGCAAACTCTAATAGCTTGGGACCTCGGTGTAGGCTTCGTCCATCGAAGGCCTCGACATATCCTCATCCCTAAACCTCGGCCTAACCACCGTCCAGCAGAGGTATCGGCCTACATTTATCTCACCACGAGGTCGCGATATTCGCTCCACGCGTCAGAGGTCTCGGCCTAGATCTCTCTCACTTGATGTCAGAGGTCTCAACCTACATTTATCTCACCACGAGGTCGCGATATTCGCTCCACGTGTCAGAGGTCTCGGCCTAGATCTCTCTCACTTGATGTCAGAGGTCTCAACCTACATTTATCTCACCACGAGGTCGCGATATTCGCTCCACGCGTCAGAGGTCTCGGCCTAGATCTCTCTCACTTGATGTCATAGGTCTCGGCCTACATTTCAATCACCTGAGGCCCCGATCCAGGCTACGCCATGCCGAGACTTGTCAAAACTGCCCTTGCTTTCCCACCGACAACCATGATGTCACACATTTCTTACCGTCTTCGTCTTTTACATCCTCAACGCTGCGGGGGTTGTATAGCGTATGATGGCCGACCTGGCCGAATACCCGACCCCTCGAACACTTGGGCCGAATACCCGACCCCCCGAACACTTGGGCCGAAAACCTGACCACTAGAACACTTGTCCGAACGCCCTAACATACCGACCACTTGAGAATCGAACGGAGTATGTCGGTATGCTCGGCCAAAACCCTGTGCCTACTCCAAGACGATTACAAAGAGCTTAATTAACGTAATGCATTGGATTAGCCCCCTAATTTCCCGGGGCCCAATCCCTAATCACGGCCCAATAAGAAGTCCTATAAATAGGGTCCCAACGAGGTACGTAACTAACTTTCAACTACCGCATTTATTACGCCGAGCACTTACTTGAGCGTTGGAGTGTCTTTGCAGGCACACCCCCCCTCACATCGGACTACCCGGATAGGAACGAGAAGACCGAGACCCAAGATCCGACCTGCTACAACAAGGATAATTGAATGTGTTTCCTAACACAAGAACATTTGGCGCCCACCGTGGGGCCCGAAGAGACATTTTCAGCCCCCTAGAACTCTACAACTGAGACCGAGGCATGGTAGTAACTCGCAAAGGACAATCAACGTCAGAGCATAAAGCTCTGATACCAATTTGTAGAAAAATAAAAGAAAGACGAAGTAATACTAATGTTGTGGGTGAACGTAGCAACTCACTGTATTTTTTATTGAATAAGAGATGGCCTTTAAATAGTCATTTTACAACGTACTGAACTAACAAGAAGATAATAAAATATCTTATCAAATCAAAACTTATCAAAAAACTATCTTATCTAATCTGAAACAAAATAACTCAAAAGATAAATCAAATAATTCCAGATAACTTAAATCGGATGTCTCGGATATCTCGGATATCTCGGAATCTCTAGAAATTTAAGATTTTCCAACAGTATAGAGATCTTTTAGGATTCTTTCTGGCGATATAATGATTTACAATAAAAATGATTTGCATGATATATAGTCCAGATTAAAAGACAGATGGATAATTAATGTGCATATGTGATGATAAAGTGGGAGCAGATAGAATATACCGATTTGGTATACAAAGGCACCTAGCCCAGCAGAGATGGAAAGTTATTGAAGGGAATGCCAGTGCCCTTGATTCCATATATATAGTACAACAATTTACCAGCACCAATACTGTTATTATCAACAAGTTGCCGCAGAACTAAATGTCTTAGTCTCAGTAGGTACTGCATTCGAAATTGTCATTATCTTTCTGATCAACTTCAATTATTCTGAGCATACTTTAGGATATAAAAGGAATGGATCCTCTCAATTATTTCTGATGTCAATGCCATTTGAGTCATACTTGTTAACTAATTGAAGTGTCAATCATGGTTTATCTTTACTAAGAGAAGCCTGTGAATCTCTTTCTGAGGCTGCATTTCCCGTGTTCTTGAGTGGCATCTCATGATTGTGCTTTCCCTCATATGTAGTCACAAATGATCTTGGGTCATCAATTGCTCTCTCCACGTGTTTGCGAACGTTACACTTGATGTTGGTACATCTATAGTAACTTCTGCAAGACAAATTATTTGATGTTAAAAATATTGTGAAATAGGAGAACGAAAACAGATTAGTGATACTTGTTTTTTGAATAGGAACTCAAACTCAATTGAGGCCTTAATTTCAAGGAATTGTTGTATATTAGAAACATATAAGGCTAAGATAAGGTCAAGAAGTATTTTAGAATACTCTTGCATCCCTTAACTATAATATTGCAGCAGTAATTATAAGTTAAGAGATCATAGAAGCAAGCATAGCAGAATCCAAAGTTTTCATTTCAAAGTGATCTTGAAGCAAATCATTTAAAACATTACTTTGATGAAGAATATAGCAACTTATTATTATATTGACATAGAAGAACAGTAAACAAGTATAAACCTGGGATATGGATTGCCCTTCACCACCTTCTGCCCATATTTTCTCCAGCGAAATCCGTCTCCAAGTATTTCAGAATCCGTAAAACTTTGCATCACAATGCGCGGCTCTACCAAACCTTCCTCTGATAACGTTGCATCATTGGATTGATTCTCACTTTTCCTGAAGCATGACAATGATTCAATACAAATTACCCTCTTATTAGAAATGGTAAACGACAATATAGGTTAGCTCAAATATTAAAATTGTACTAACATGTTGGATGAACAATTTTTGTTATGCATCCCAAAGTCTTAAGCTGTTAAATAAAGGCATGCAAATGATTTTTAACCATACATGATGATCTGTGATTGGATTTATTTTATATTGTCAATGCATAGTCTATTTTCTCTTTTTATATCACAGGTGTGTTTGGACACCATTTCAGTTCAACTGAACTTCAGTGCATCCTTAGAATTGGTTCTACATTTATGCATTGAAATTTGAGAAAACTCCATTAAACATGGCTTAAATGGGTTTCCAAACACAAACTACATCTTTGACACCATTTTCATGCATGGGTTCATGTTACTATTTGACTTATCCATTTGTCTGACATGCATGTCACATGATATTAGAGATTTATTGAGGACTATGGGTAAATTACATTTTCCTTACTTTTTTTAGGGAAGAGTTCATACCTTCTTTTACTTCTGTGATCATCCTCCTGAGTCTCAAATCCCTTGCTTCCTTCCTCACATTCCCCACTTAGACCGCAAGAGTTTTCCATGCTTCCTCCACCAGCATTAGTGTTAAGAAGAGAATCATTAGGCTGTGGAACTTTGACATGATAATCCGAAAGCATAGACAGTCCTGTGTTTTCAACTCTACCTTCATTCCCTTCATTCCTCTCACTGTGACTATTACTCCACATATCTTGAACCATTCCATCAGACACCACCCCTGATCCCTGTGTCCCTGCTGAGTTGCGCTTAGGAATCTGTGGCTTAGAATGGTTGTGTTCACCCTTATAAACAATTTCTGCAATTTGGCCATCAAATGATCTTTCAACCTTCTTTTTCACTGGACAATTGGGATGTGTGCACTTGTAATAGCTTCGAGGGTACTCGCTCCCTTTCACTTGCTTCTGACCATATTTCCTCCAATTATATCCATCATAAGATGGTCGATCACAATTCACTGAGGACGTTAAAGCTTTTTGGTCCTCCTCTGTGTTCTGCTGCACCATCTTACTAGCTTCACTGCTCTGGTTTATTTCTGCATGCGGGATAGTACTCTGATCAGGAATTGAGCTCGAGTTGGTTCTAAATTTTTCATGGATGGAATGTTGAAAATTGGTCTCCATTGAGTGCCGTGTTTGTTGTTGACTAGTACTGCAATTTCCCTTCTCCAAAACAAGAGAAAAGAATGTCATAACCATATATGGATAATTTTTTTAAGTTATACTCATCAACCATTGCAACCTATCCATTGATAATGTCATTTTTACACGAAAAAAACTTTTAATCTTAACTTCCCATGTACAGTTATACAGCTAAATTTTCTCCTCTTACCTTTGTTTAAAAAGAATTTTCTGGCAAAGATATGTAACTAGAGGGGTCGAGGCACTTTGTACTTCTAATAATTTTATACAGACAGAATATTAAAAGGTTGTTTATAATTATTCAAAAAAGATATAAGTTTTTTTTATATTTTTTTTACATTTGAGGGGTATAATGGTTCATTAAAAAGTTGAGACAAAAAACAGTTACATATATTTATATCCCTAAAATGAATTCTTTTTCACTTTTCATAATTTTGCAAATTGTCTTTATATGTGTGTATGTGTATATCTCTATTATCTATATTGCTAACCATGTTTGCCAAAAGAGACACAGTTGTCTTTGACACCAGTTTTGCCGTTGGCTTGTATATGAGGGACTGCTTGGTGTCAAGTTTAGGACTCTTGTCAGAAGAGTTACCAAGTGCTGCTCCAAAAGCATCAGCCTGAAATTGTAAAACACCACTCATGTTGGAAATCTAGAAGCTATGAATAACAAGTTTGCTTGAACTAACATAGTAATAGGTCGGAGAAAATAGAGCGAAAGAGAGGAAAATGATGGAGAACAATGTTCTCTTTTATCTAATTTTCGCTCCCCTTTAATATAGGAGAATTTGGAAGAAGGAGAGGAAATTTAAAACATTTTGTGTGAATTGACCAAAATATTCTTACTTATAATTAAGTACAGTTAGTTGATTTTTTTTATATCAAAATTAGAGTTTTAATAGTAAATTTATATTATTAAAATGAAACTTTAATTTTGATTCAAGAATAGTATTAAAATAGTATTAAAAGTATTTATGGTACTATAACTAAGTTCTGTCTAATTCAAAATTATAAATGTATAAAAGTAAATAATTTTTTAAAATCTCTCCCCTCTTTTGCCTATTAGAATTCTTTCTTCTCCTTTTCTTACTTTCTTTTGAACCAAACAGAAAAGTTTACCTGAGAAGATACAAAGGCAGCAGGGGGGTGATTCACTGCAGGCTTGAACCTCACTGTCTTGGGTCTAATGGCTGAAACTGCAGCATGAGAAGATGCAACAGTGGGAGAAGCATTGATTGCACCAGCTAGCAGCTCTGAGAAAGATCTGAAAGTAGAACAAGTAGGCCTTGAAGCTACTGGCTTGGCAACCACCACTCTTTCTGCTTCCTTCATGTCCATCTTCAATATCTATGTTTTGCAAACTGTTTTCCACTCTTCTGTTTGCAACAAAAACAAAATCAGTGTCCACTATCCAAAACCCAGCACCAGTTTCTAACAACTTTCATTTAGCACAACACAAAATCATCTAGCACACATGGTTAAGTCACATTACACATCACATACAACAAAGCCTCCAAGTGCAAAAAGATATTTTATATCAAAATTATGAGTCTCACGCTAACGTTAACTCATCTATTGTACTTAAAAAATAGCCAAAGTGCACGACTTGTATTGTACTCCAATATTTGTAGTATTTGAAGGTAGCACGGCAGAGAAGTAGGAATACACTTTTTTTAACATGTTTTTTTTATTAGTCAAACTTGATTTATTCCAAACTACAAAATTAGAAGTGGAATGGATTGACATCTACACGTTTTAGTGATCTCTAGTGAATAAAAAAAAAGTCTGTTGTTGAGGTTTCTCAAATTACTATATCCTACCTTTTTGCAATTGCGTTAAAATATGATAATGGAAAAAGGAAATAGGAGGCATAGAATAGCGACAAAGGATCCACCAAGAAAACGAAAAAGAAAAAGTAGAATTCGGAAGAATCGACAAATTTTTTTTTTATCACATTGGACCACATTGATGTTCTGTATTCGTCACGGGCATCATGAATCTATAATGAACTTTTACTCAGTAGGTGAAAATCATTTTTTTTCCTTTTTAACTCAACATATCAACACATTATACTGAGGCTATGTCATTTTTACTAAGCTGCAATATTGCAATATCGCAAACTCGAGCATTTTGCGATACCATGTAGGTACTGTAGACGTAGTTACTTTTTCGGGTAACTTGATGTTGTTTCTACAAGTTCGTGTTCATTTCCTTTTTAGCTAAGGTATTGTTAAAAAATATAATATGAACAACTTACTATTGCTGCATAACGGTCAGAAGTTTCAACAAGGAAAATATTAACTATATACTCCTTTTTTTTTATTACTATCTCTATTCGTTTTTTATAATAATGTTATTCATCGTTTATCAATTCCTTTGTATTACTTTACATTCTTTTTTTTTTTCCTTCCACCTTCGCACTCCAAAAATAGAATATAGGAGTGTCTTTACTGCAAGTGTTACTATTTTACATTACATGATTACAACCACTCAAAAGGAACAGAGCCGTATGCTGCTATTTTTTTTTCCTTTTTTTTGAAAAGACAGGACCACAAACATAATGTATCAGTCTGAAAACATTCGAAAATGTGACAAGAAGCCTAGTGTAGTTCTAGCCATATATATGCATAAACGGTATAATATCCTTGCTAACACTGTCTCAATTTATTTTCTTAATAATTCGTTCTCATTCTCTTTGAATAGTGAGTAATGATATATAAAACATTTGTTAAAGTTATATTTTTAATTTGTTCTTCTCCTTTTACATCCTCATATTATTTATCACATTATACTTTTTACTCTTCTGTTTCCTTCTCTCTCTAAATGTATAATAGCTCTAAATATTCATATTAATGGTTGCTTAAAATAAGACCCCCATAAATATAAGGTGTGTTTGTGTTTGATAAAATTAATTTATAAGTTATAATTTAGGAGTTAAGAAATTATAAATTTATAACTTATTTGATTGAATCGAAAGTATTTAGTAGTTGATTAATGTAAAATAATATTTATTTATTTAATAATTAGAAAAAGAGAATAATATGTAGGTAAAATAATTTTTAAATTAAAGTAAAATAGAAGTTTAAGTAAATGAGGATAAACAAAAGTTTAAGATTTATATTATAAACTACTTATAAAAACATATAAATTATAAGATTCTAAATTAAAATCTCATATTATTTTGATCAAACTAATTTATAAGCTAATAAAAAAAAAACTTGTAAGTTGCTCAAATATCTTATCAAACATATTCATATTGTATGGATGTCATACAACTACAAACTATTTAGTCTAATTAAACACTTCAACTTTCATACATGATACATGCAAAATGAAATTTTGGGAGAAGAAAGAGATATTATGGAATACACATCTCTTGGGGAGGATGATAGACAAGAAAGATTAGTAATTAAAGTAAAAGATAAAAGAAGTAGATATAACTGTGATAGAAAAACAAGAGAGATATAGAAAAAAGTATGTACAAGATGAATTTAATTACCAAAATGTGTAAAAATTAAAATTGCTTAGAACAAGAACGTTATGTCTCACCCACTATGCAGGAGTGCGAGATAGGCATGGCGAAGAGAAAAATGGAAAGAAAAAAAAAGTAAGAGAAACAAATAAAAGATGTAATAAGAAAAAAGGAAAAAAAATCAATATTTTTTTTATTCATTAATATAAGAAAGGTACAAAAACGAGTAAAAAAATCAAAATTATATTTTTTAAAGTTAAGAAGGCCAGGTGATTGAGATTTTGTTTTTTTCTAATATATATATATATATATAACTTAATAGTAACAAACATCGAAAGAAATAAAAGTGTTAAATAAAATAAATGAAGTGAAGAAAATAAATAAAATTAAAAAAAGGGTCATTATTAACCACATTCATTTTTTTCTTATATGTAATTTTCACATCAATTTTTTTTTCTTTCTCTTTTTTTTTTTATCACAGTAATTAACACATTTATCAACTTTTTTTATTCTTGTTAGTCTTTTTTATCTACCTCATTTATCTCAACATGAAGTGGACGGTAATATTTCTCAAAAACAAAAGTGTCACAAAAGTATGTCACCTAAATTATATAAATATTTAAATATACTTTTAGTCCATATAAAATAACAAATTTCGATTATGATTCTTATAAAGTTTTGTTTTTATTTTTATTCTTATAAAATTTGTAAACACCATTTTTTTTATAAGATAACTTTCTAAAAAAATATTTTTATTTAATTTTCATTTTTTAAAGTCTAAACTCATTATTTTAGATTTTTAATTTAGACTAATACTTAAGATAATCATTTAATTTTTTAATAAAAATTAAGTAATTAAAATATCAAATAATAGTAGGGACTAAAAGTAATAATACCAATTATAAAGGAATAAAAATAGGAAAAATTTATAAAAACTAAAATTAAAACTTACTTATTTTATATTAATTAAAAATATATTTAAACTTGATATAAATATATTGAGTAATGATGTCTAAACACATTCACATTATATCACATATGATTCCTGCATTTCCCCCCCTCTTTTTTTCCCCTCTTTTTTTTTTTTTTTCACATGTGTATCTACCCATTTAGTATTTTTTGTTCGTGCCCTAGGGCTTAGGAGAGGGTGCCTTTGAAGTGGCTAAACGCCAAACTTCAAACTTAGGTACGAAATTGAAGTCTCCACAAACAAAAACCTGTCATTTCACTTATTTATTTGTCTGGTCGATGTCGGTCATCAATCTCCATGCAATCTTTCAAACTCAAAATCTCAAATCTTCATACCTTCATCTCGTGGGATAGCCAACTCGTTATGTGTACACCAAAAAAATCTGCTAGGGTTGTACTTGCAATCTATAATTTGCAATTTTACTGAAATGAAACTTTTTTTAACTTATAATTTTAAAAAGTAATTCTTAGACACCACAACACCCATTAACACCTTTGAAAAGTGAGTGAGAAAGTGGTGTGATTTAAAAGAAAGAAAAATAAAAAATAAAAAATAAATATTAGTGGGGTGTAAATTTGTGAACTGTCTAAATATCAAAAGTATATAATTTTTAAAACTAAAACATATGTAAACACAAATCAATTAAAATATATTCAAGTACATTGGTTGAGTTGCACTTTTATGGTTCGTTTAGATGAGAAGAAATAAGGCTATAGGAGATAATTAAAGAGATAGAATAGAAAAAATATAATATATGATAAAAAATGAAAAATAAAATAAAGAATGTTAATTAAATATATGTACTGTACAGATGCTCATAAATAATCATTACTATTATATTCTTTTTTAGTACTTTCTTCTTAAACAAAGAAATCTGACTGTGTTTAAAGTGGGAATGAACATTAAATTTTCAACTTAATTTCCAGACTCCATTTGAGTTTTTTAATTCACATTGGAACTTCCCCTCACCTGTACAGATGTCTTTAACAGACTTCACAAATTCCAATGTGAGGTGTTGATGTTGATTGACTAAGCTAACAAGAAAAAAAAAAAGTTAAAATGAAGGGTGATTGAATTTATGTATAGAACATGTAGAAAGAAGAGATAATTTGTGTAACTTACACCTATGTGATCTATGAAAATGAAAACCAAACATATCTATGAAAACCAAAAATAGTCGTTTTTGATTTTAGGTTAGAAAAGTTCCGAATCATGATTTGTTCGTACCTAGTTTTGTCTAAACACCATAGTTTGAAGATTTCCAACTGAAAAACAAAGAAAATGACACAAAGAAACCCGTCTCTTCCAGATTTTATCTTGTTAAGGGTAGTATGTTATCAATAATTCAAAAAAAAACAAAAAAAAAAAACAAAGAAAAAGTTTAGAGAACTAACCAGTTAATCCGAGAATAGTAGCAACATGTTAAAACGATGTAGGTTGGTTTATTCAGTGAATTCTCATATCCCAGTTGAATGTATAAAAACCGAGTTTAACTTATCTTCTCCTGCATTGCAAGACTCAGAATTTCATAACAAAATATACAAGTCTCAATATATACATGTGAATGTGATGTGTGGCCAACAACAAACAAAATATCAGTTGTTAATGAATTCAGAAAAGGGAGCAACTTATTCAAACATACCAAACCTGAGTTTCACAACCAATAAGATTGCCTTCTCTAGATCCAACCAAAGAAACCAACAAAAAAGAAAAGGAGCTTCAGCTTCTTCTGCTTGTAGGGATCTTCTGAAATCTCAACAGTGCATTGACCTTATATTAATACATGAATATTTATATATGTATGTAGTATATGCAAACCAGACAGAGAGGAAGAGAGAGGAGGGAGTGGTTTGATTCCAAAATAATGTTTTTGTGAATCTAAAGTTGTAAATGATAAGGTTTCCTTTTAGTCAAAGTATTTTTTTTGTAAAAAAAGAAATAATTAAAGTGAAAATGGTTGCATGGTTAATGGGAAATGGTGTGTATGAAAAATCTTGGGATTGGTGGTTCGCAGTGGGAGCCAGCCAACCTCCAAAACTGTACGGACAACTAACTGTCTCTGCGCCCTCTTTGACCATTCGTTAACGTAGTTAAGTTATGGAGAGAGAAATAGAAACACGTCACGTCAAAAACAATAGTTATCAGATAAGATTCCCTCTTCGAGAAGATACTTCATCTCATAATTCATAATTCCACACTTTTTTTTTTCTTCATATCACATATTTTTGTTTCGGTTCGAATCCAGTCTAGCTAGGTGTAACCAGATGTGACAATCTAAGATATTTATCTAAATTTGTGTTTATTAGATTTGGATTTGAGTTCAATTTGGATTTGAGCATGAACAGAGATTAATACTCGTCTCGTTTTCGTTATTGTTCCGTTTAATATTATAATTAAGAAATTATTTTATATATATATAAATCAAATTAAAAAATATTTATATATAAAATTTTGTATTATTTTAATTTTTTTATTTTTTGTTCATATTTATTTAAATGAAAAAAAATAGAAACGGGATAAGGCGGGAAAACTCAATCCTGTTAAGAACGGAGATGAATATCCAAATTTTATCCCGAGTACGATTTAAATCTATGGGAACGGGGCGTGAAATGTAAAATCCACCCGTCTCAGTCTTGTTGCCATATTTATATCTAATTCGACCTATGACATAAAAATTATTTTTATTTATAATATTTTATTTTATGTTAACTTTATTTCTAAGTTCGAGATGACACTTGAATTTCCCCTCTCAAAGTATAAAACGTAAAAAATTTCTTCTCATGTTTCAATGCAAGCACACCGACTAATTGAACTAAATTATTGATCAAGCAGAAATAATCTTATATTAATTCATATATTACTGAATGTTGTTTGATTAAGTAGTTCAACTTTTCTAATTTTACTTATAAAATTATACCACTTTATTTTTATAAAAATTGATTTTGTAGAAAGAAGTTATATTTTCTTTAAAAAAAATTCATACACTCAGTAGTAATTTGAAAGATTAACATAGCGATTAGACAAATTACCTTGGTACATGTTATGAAAACGATTAACGATATATTTTTTTTATAAAAAAATATGTGTTTGATGCCTTGCGAAAAAGCTTACGCAACTTATTAAATACATCAAATCTAATGTCATTTTCTGTTTCTTTCATAACATTTATAACTTTTGACACCACATCCTATTATTGGATTGTTGTCTTCGCCTCTGGTCTTCTTATGATAATTAATAATAGGTAATGTGATAATGATATTATGAAAAACAGACATAAAATTAAAATTACAGCGTCTTATTACAACTCTAATCATGGAAAAGTTTATTATAATCAGTTTAAGTCCTTTTTCTATGTCATGGTCAAAATTAAGGGGAAGATTCAAATGTTGCTCTTTATCATGAAAATATTTACTTAGGTTTACTATATGGGCTGCTGGGAAATGCAAAGAAAAGGATGTTTAGTCGTCATTTTTATAACTGTTTCCTGTTAAAAGTTGAATTTTTGGTATTTAAGGATTTTTTAATTTATAACTTTTTTTTGTTTAAATAGTTATAGAACTTGAATTAGTTTCATTTTGAAGTTGCATGTTTTCAGTTAGGACCATCATAATATTGTAAAGAAAGAAATACACAAATAAATATAGTAAAATTCACCATTTGTATAGAATTTATTAATTTAATTTGTATTTTTGTATAGGTGATAACACAATATTGATATATATTTTTTTGTTATAGCCAAAGACAAAAACAATAGTTATATATTAGATGACTAGAAGGAGTACCCAACCCTTATACAAAATACACAAATCTGTCAACTCGATCTTAAAATAGAATACAAGAACGACAAAGAATTAAAAGTCCCGGAAACAATGCAAAAAATCTACCAACATGTACATCCTAGTGCAAATAAAAAACTTACAGACCCTTCAATATAGGGTTCAGTGACCATTCAAAAAAGGAAGGGAAAAAAACTTCATCTTGCTGATCAAGCATGTCCATCATCTAAATTTTTCCAACTCTGAAACATAATGTTGGGTTCCTCGTTTAAATATAGAAACCAAATTAAGCAAAGCCAAACAACCAACCAAGTCCTTCTAGTCTCTTTTTTTTTTTTTTTTTTTTTT